AGCCTTCATTCAACTGGCAGAAAAATTCAGACTCTCCTCCATCATGTTAAATCATATTAATGATTATATATTAACAAACTTCATAGAACATGCTTATGTAGTCCAATGAATTCTTTTTTTCTGTTAGTATATATTTATGGAATTTATCTATTAGGTATACAAAAGTGTGCTAGACTTTTTTTGGGGGGAGGGCTATAGGTTAAAGAATAGATAGGGTTCTTTCTTCCAAAAGTTCACAAACTACTAAGGGGGACAAGACAGTACAAAGACTTGAAATATGTATAGTGTGTTTTTTTAAAAAATCTGCCAAATGGCAAAAAATTGGAAATTGAGTGGCTGCCCATCAATTGGGGAATGGCTGAACAACTTGCGGCATATGATTGTGATGGAATACTATCTGCTTTAGGAAATGACGAGCAGGATGGTTTCAAAAAAACCTGAACTGATACAAAGTGAAGTAAGCAGAACCAGGAGAACATTGTACAGAGGACAGCAATACTGTATGACGATCAATTGTGAGTAACTTAGCTATTCCTGGCAATATAATGATCTAAGACAATTCTGAAGGACTTCTGATGAAAAATGCTATCCACTTTCAGTGAAAGAACTGATGGAGTCTGAATGCAGATTGAAGCATGCTTTTTATTTTCTTAATTTTTTTTTTGGTCTGCATTTTCTTTTGCAACATGGCTGATATGGAAATGTTTTGCATGACTGCACATAGCTAAGCTGTATCAAATTGCTTGCCTTCTCAAGTAGGGGGAAGAGGACAGAGAGAATTTAGAACTCAAAATTTTTAAAAAATGAATGTTAAAATTTTTTACATGTAATTGAGAAAAAGAATTAAAAGATTTTTTTTAATCCATCACAATAACTATAGGTGTGTGATAAATGAGAATATCCAGAGGAGGTCAACCATGAAGGTAAAGAGCCTTAAATCTACGTTTTATGAGTCTTAGTTGAAGGAAACAGCATTTTTTGCCTCATTCCTATCAGGGGAACATTATAGCTGACTTCAAGTATTTGAAGGGATGTTATACAAAGGAAGGCTTAGACTTTTGTCTGATCCCAGAGGAGGAATCAGAAGCAGTGTAGAAGATACAAAGAGTAAGTTTAGTTTTATGTCAGGAAAAACTTCCTAATTGGGGCTGCCCCAAAGTAGAATGATCTCCCTAGACAAGGAATGGATTTTCCCTCCTCAGAGGTCTTCAGGTAGAGGCTGGACAACCATCTGTTAGGTATATTACAATGAAGATTCCTTTCATGAATGTTTTGGACTCAGTGGACACTAAGATACCTCCTCTCAAAACCTGTGACCCTATCATGAGTGACTCAGGGATTATGTTGGCAAGTGAACTGAGGAGAGGTGAGTACATGTTTATTATCGTTTACAATAGCGAGTGGTGTGAGGGTGCCTGGAAGAGGAAGGACTTTCTTCTATGCAAAGGTTTAAATCCATTTATTTGAAATTTCATTACAGAATAGTCCCAAGTATATGTGGTTTTCAGGAGACAGCAAGCCCATACTTCGATCTGAGAGTTCAGAGAGGGAAGGGGGAATTCTTGCTGTGCCTCTGAATGTAACCTTGGAAACTTTAACCTTTTTGATTATTTCCTCCAGATATGGATGAAGATGCATTATTGAAACCGAGTTTATACAAAATACCTTTAAATTCAGTTATGTCTTGTGTTGTATGTTTCCATTACTCATTTCAAGTAAACAAGTGTTTATTAAACATCTAGTCCATGCCCAGACATGTGACACATACAGTCTCCCTGACCTCTGGGAGCTTATCATTTTCTTGTTGTTCAGCCTTCATACTCATACTAGGAGAGGCTCAATGACATCACGATGATGGGGTCAAGAGGCGCTCCCCTGTGGCTGATCAATCTACTATAGGTCGGGCACAAATAGTCTGTTTGAACATTTGGGATGGAAATTCTAGATTCTTGCTTCTCACATTTGTTTTGTGCTACTGTGATTCTACTTTGCTTACAGAACACAGTGCCCTCTACGATGTGGGCACCCTAGGCTGGGTGGTCCTGTGCCAGTGTCTCCCATGTCTTCCAATGAATACTAAAGCTCTTCAGAGAGATCTTGCGAGTGTCCTTGTATTGCTTCTTCTGACTGCCGTGTGAGCACTTACTTGCCTTTTGTGAGTCTCTGCATTTGGCATTTGGACAACCCTGCCAGCTGATTGGAATTTCACTCTCTGAAGTAGAGTTTCAATATGGGGTAGTTCAGCTGGAAACCTCAGTGCCTGACACCTTATCTTGCCAGGTGATCTTCAGAATCTTCCTAAGACAATTCAAACATGGCTCAGTGTGCTATAGTAGTGAAGACATTAGGAGTTGTTACATCTTGAGCTCTTGGTAAACCACTTCTCACAGCTGATGGCCTAGTAATTAGGTGCAGAGCCTGGTGTCAGGAAGGCCTGAGTTCAAATCCTGCTTCAGAAACTTATTAGCAGTGTGACCCTAGGCAGTAATTTAAAACATGCCTGACCCAGTTTCCTCATTTATAAAATAAGGGTAAAAGTAGTGCTTACCTATCAGGGTTGTCTTGAATACAAAATGAGATGTTAATAAAGTGCATTGTAAACCTTAAAGCACTATATAAAGGTTTATTGTTGAGAGTTCCTCTCTCCATGCTTCAGTTTTTTTACGGATAAAATGAGGGAGCTGGGATGCAGGATTGACACATTCCCTTCCCAGCTCTCAGCCTTAATCCTTCATTCTACCTACCCTGGTCTTAATCTTCTCATCTATAAATTGAGGAGGCTTAACTAAATGATCTCCATTGACATTCTACAGTTTCAAGTTGAAGTAAGATCATTTTGGTAGCTGTGAGAAAAACCTATTGGATAAAAGAGAAATTGAATGCAGGAAATTAGTTGGGTTATTGCAATCTTACATGCAAACAAAAGTAAGATGTTCCTAGCAGGGTTGAGCCATAAGGTATTGAAATTCATAGGGGGTTGAGAGCTCTCTAATCTACAGCAGAGAAAAAAAAAGAGTCGAGTGTCTAGTTAGTAACAATATTATGTTAAGATCCGCTAGATTGGGAGCTCCGTGAGGGCAGGAACTGTTTTTGCCTTTCTTCAGTGCTTATCACAGCCCTTGGCAGGTGCTTAATACATTCAGTTTTGACTAGAAGATGGGAAACTAAAGCAAGTGACTGCCTTCACTCTGTCCCGCCTCCCTCCAGCTGCCTTCCCAGCATAGCCTTGAGAAGTTCTGAGATCTCCATTCCCAAGAGCTAGCCCCTACCCCCACCCCCCTCTACCTCAAGCACACAAATTTGTATTAAACTGCTCCTTGTCCCAGCTGCTGTTGGTGCCAGCTACCGCAGATACAAACATTGCTCGCTATAGTTCTAGTCCCTAGGACAGGGACTGACTTACACCAGCTCTTGCACAATGCACACACCTGAGTACAGAGTAGTAACTGAAGAGACTATTACCTGGGAAGGTCAGGGCTCAGAATTAGGCCTTGCATTCTTTAGGTTAAGGTACCAGACTGGTACTAGGTTGTTGAAAAGGAAATGTCTAAAGCCAAAGGGAAAGGTCTTTGGGCAAGGCTGATTTATGATCAGACCATGCATACCCCTACAGATAGCAAATTATTCTCATCCCCCTCAACCCTTTGAGTGAAACTGCTTTTTTCAAGGTTATCATCCTCTTGGATACTCTCTCTCCTCAGCTTTTTTTGTCACCCCTCCCACCTGCTTAAGTACTTTCTTGGCCTCCTTCCATGGTTCATCTTCATCCTCCCACTCTGGGGGCTCAGCCACTTACTAGGTATGTGACCTTGGGCAAGTCACCTCTGCCTCAGTTTCCTCAACTGTATAATGGGGGCAATAATAGCAGCTACCTCTCGGATGTACCTACCTGGGGGCAGGTAGGTGGTACAATGGATAGAGTGCTGGGCCTGAAGTCAGGAAGACTCATCTTCTTGAGTTCCAATCTGGCCTCAAACACTTACTAGCAGTATGACTCTGGGCAAGTCACTTAACCCTGTTGCCTCAGTTTCCTCATCTGTTAAATGAACTGGAGAGGAAATGGCAAACTACTCTAGTAAACTCATTTAAATGCTTGGTTCCTTCCTTCCTCCACAAAATTTAATAAATGCATGCTTTCTTCTTCTGCAAAACTACATGGTGACTATAATTATTAGTAGTAATAGTAAACTTTTCCTTAATTGAACAGAGCATTCCCGAAAGTCCTTCCATGCATTTTCCCCTTTCACTTAGCTCATAGTTCTTTAAATTTTTTTTGAATATACTGTCTGTATTTTTTCTTTAATCCTAAAACCCCACAGCCTCATTTGTATTATGCTTTTTGTATGCATACGGTATCCCTCTGGCGGAATGTAAACTCCCTGAAGGCAGAGACTATATTATTTTTTATTTTTGCATCCACAGCATCAGGCACAGTGCCTTCAATCATTATAAGGCCCTAGTAAATGTTTGGTGATTTTAATCTATAAAAGATTTGGGGGCTTGGAGTGACAAGGTCGCATCACTTCCCTCTTTCAAATTCCTGATCACTCCCAGGGGAGGACCGCCAACTTGTTCCACTGCCTGTGCCAACACAGTCACCTGTCACCCCACCCTACTCCTAACCCGCCACATTCCAGAGAGGGGCCTGACTTTGGGGAGAGAATCTGGGAAAGAAGGGACCCTACCTGGTCCCTTTCCCTTCCTTTGGAAAAGACTTCGGGAGCCGGATGGCCGCAGCAGATCCTTCCTCCCGGCCCAGGTCTGCGAGCACCTCACTCTCCCGGCCGCAGGGTGTGCCAGGCGGGGTCAGCCCAGGTTGCGGACCTTGGGAACCACCCCTTCCTCCTCCTTCCTTCCCGCCCCTCTTCTGGGGAGGGGCAGGGTGCGAGGAGGGCATCCGCAGTGACCTCAACAGCCCGCCCTAACCCCACCCTCGGCCGCAGGCACTGGTAAATAAAAGCGCGTGTTGCAGCCCCCGTACCCCGCTGCCTCGTGGGAGCGGCTTTGTTGCGGGGGCTCTGGCCACCGGTGTGTCACACTCCCCTCACTATATTGTCTGCGCTCTCCTGAGTTTCGAGAAGGAAAGAAACCATGCTGTTTTGGCACACTCAGCCGGAGCACTACAACCAGCACAACTCCGGCAGCTACCTGCGGTAAGCTCCAATCGCCGGTCCTCTGGTCACAGCCCCGCACCCCGGGCGCCCGAAGGCGCTGCCGCCCCGGCGAATGCCTCCAAGTAACCCTGCAGCCCAGGACTTTGCGCCTGCCCTGGTGTGGTGTAGGGGGGGAGGGTTCCTCGTAACACGTAATCCTAGGGAGACCACCCCGCCACGGGCGGTGGGGGTGCAGGATAACTGAGGGAGATCACCTGGCCCCGAGGAGCCCCCCGGGAGAAGAGGCTAGAAGAGGCTGCAGCTGGTGCCAGCCCTAACTGGAAGCCCATACCTACCTAGGACACGGACTACCTACCTATGTGGCCTTGGTCAAGTGCCCTGGGCCTCACTTTCTTCTTCTTCTTTTCAGTGAGGAGGGGTAGATTAGATGGCCTGAGTTCTTACAGCTTTTTAATTTCGTTTTGAGAAGATTTAGTTCATAAAAGACACTACCATCGGAAATCACATCAGAAAACATAGTGCACTTTTTTAAAAAAGAGCCTTCGTTATCCCTCTCCCCACCCCTACCCCTCAAGAGAGGAGGGAAACGGGGGCTAAATTTGTTCTCTTGCTTGCTCCCCTCCCGCGGCTCGCCCTTCCCGGGCCGGAGCTCCCCCTCCCCCTGCCCCGCACCTCTGGGCGCCGCTGGCTGAGTTTGCTCCGACCCTTGGCTGACAGTCTGAGGGAGGCTCCCGCGCTCAGCCTGGCCGCACGCCGTCTCTGGCGGTGCAGGAGAGGCCATGGGTGTCCGAGAGAGCACATACAAGCAGCCGTGGGCAGCGCTCCCCCGAACTCAGGGCTCGCCCTTCTCTCCTTTGGGGAAGAGAGACTTTTACAACTGAAACCCCGCAGACTGGCTGACAGACGGACACAGACACACTTGCGCAGGGAAAAGAAAGAGAACCGAGACAGACAGGACAGACCTATGGTGATTGGGGGAGAGCCAGGAGAGCGAGAGAAATAGATGGGAGGCGAGGGGGAGAGCCGGGCAATAGTCCCAGTTTTTGGGGAGCATTAGTGACAGCCACCGGCATTTGCCGGCAGAAGCTGCATTCCCAAATCCCTCCTGTGATGCTTACTATGTTCGGTGACCTTGGGCAAGTCGTGTAACCACCTTCAATTTCTGTTTGCTTATCTGTAAAATGAAGACAGTTGGATTATATGTAGTAGCCTCTGAAATATCTACCTAACAGCTCTACAAATATGATCCTCCCCATCCCTGGGTTGTGGGTGTTTTCTGGTACAAATTACGCAGTGCCTGGCGCATAGCAGACACTTAATATTTATTAAATTGATATACTTATTATCACCTTAATTTATTATCAGCTTAGTTGATTAAGATGACATTTGCTAGTTTACTGATGTGTGAGAAGGAAGAGAATTGACTTTTTAGACTAATTTTTTATCTTGACATTAATCAACCTTGGGGAGGAGGGTAAGGTGCGGGGGCGGGGGGGGGGGTTGGAAAAGGGCAGAATTCTTTTTCCTTGGAAATAGTTCACCTAATGAGGAAGTGTGCAGGAACCTGACAGGATACTAATAGGGTCTCTGCATTCCACCTTTTCTTGGCCCTCTAAATAACCTTTTGATTTGAGAAGGGTTTTGTGGTTCTTGGTTTTCAACTTCTAGAATTTGCAGTGGTGAAGACTTGAATTCCAGATGAGGTGGGGCAAGGGTGGGGTAGAGGGTTTGACCTAAGGGCTGGGGCTGTAGGAAGCATCTCTTCTGCTTAAGGAGTAGCAGATAGCCCCCTCAGATAATCTTGTATGTATTTGCTTGAGTTCAGGCCTATTCCCTCGTTGGAAATCTTTCTTCTTCTGCAGGGATTTGACTAGTGCTCTTCAAAGGGAAAAGTCTTGTCTGTTTTTCAAAATTCTCTAAAAAAAACCAGACACCCAGAAACTGGCCTATTAGGAAGTAGGACAGACACTCCCTTTCCCCTCAGTTCTGTGGGATTTTTTTTCTTTTTTTCTATTGGAGGCCCAGTATTAATGGATTCTAATTTCACTTTCTGAACTTGCTTGAACCAGCTTTAGCCTGTCTTATTTCCACCCTAGTCACAGTTTATTAAATGTGCCTAATTTAACCCAAGGGGCAGTTGACATTGGCTTGGGAAAAGCAGAATTTGTGGAATGGTTACCAGGCAATGATTGTACCATTATTGGAACTAAATGGCTTTTTGTACCCCTCCCTGCCTTGAGACTTTCCCCAAATATCCAAAGTGATACCTGTCAAATCTCCTGACTCTGATATAATAGCCTTTGTTCCTCTTTCCTTTAGAAATGAAGGGAAAAGCAATGAAAGGGTTAATCTTTTTAATTTGTCAGTTCATCATTCATTGGATTTAATTATTAGAAAGATGGTAAATGATGGTGGATCTTTATTAATTCTGCAGGCTTATTCTGTGAAGATATTGAGCCAATGACAGCCCAGAGCAATTTAAATATAGACCCTGCTCTGATGAGAATGTGTCAGTTCATTAGAATATGTTTCCTTTTAAAAAAAACATTCTGGAGAAAACTAAGTTCCTATTTATCCCAGGAACTAAAATTTTTAATATTCCATGACTTTACTTTTCCATTTTCTCTAAAACCTATTCTATGATTATTAAATATTTTAGGACGTTTAAAAATGTGGGTTTTTATAGACATGATTGAAACTTAAATTTCATATCCCAGAAATTTCAATTGAGTTAAATTTATTAAATTTAATTATTAAATTTGGGAGCATAAAACTTGACCTTAGAACTTTAAACCTTAAGGCATAAAAAGCTTAAGACACTGAGCTTAGTGGAAATTGGGGAAGTGGTTGAATAGGGAGAAAGAGAAAACAAACTAAAATTATTCCTACTCACAAAGTACTTACACTCTAATAATTTATTAAGGAATAAATGTTGTGCATTCTTTTTGTGAGGTGTGCCAATCAGCAGTTTTCATGTTTACCTCAGAGGTTAGAGATTCACCTACTTGTGAGGTAGCTGAGAAACATATTTCAGTTTGGCTATAATGAAAAGTTAAGTAGAGTTTCAGAAAGAGAGCAAACCATAAGATAAAACGTTTATTGTAGTGCTTTTTGATCCAAGGATAATCAAGCAATTGGTCAACAGTCTTTTATTTGATAACTTGACCTCCCCCTTTTTAGGAGATTGGAGAATTCTCCTAGAGATTGAAGCAAGAGAAGGCCATGGTTCACCCAGACTTAGGGTGTATTCAAGGGAACAGTCCTGTGTCTAGCCACTATACCATAATGTTGAAGTTACTTAGGTTGGCCTCAAGCAGGAACCTTTAGTCTCTTTCCTCATTTAAGTTCGATGTTCTGGGCAACTTTTATTTCTTTGCAAATAAAGATAACTGTCTTGTAACAAATACCCTTCCATGAGTGACTTCAGTGTTGAGTGACAAGTCAACCACTTTCTTTTCTTTCTCCCTCTCTCCCTTTTTTTTTAACACCAAAGCACATGGATTATTAACTTAATATGATGTGGGCAAACATGAAAAGCACTAAAGTTAGAAGGGCCTGTGCACACTTTCCATGTTCCTAGATAGCTATTTTTGTCTGGATTTGTGCACCTGAGGTTTAGTGTAAGGAAAGGGGCACCCTTGCTCTTTAGTAAGCTGAAAGTTGAGCTAAATATTGGCTTCACTGGGGAGTGGAAAACAGAAGGGCAGGTGTAAAAAGGATTTTTGAGGTGTACCCAAAACCATATTTTCCTTCAGGGAACTAGCTAGATGTTGGCGGGGTGTGTACAATGTTTATGTGTTTTAGAGACACAAGTTTATTGTGTTAGACGGAGAACAGATTGTCCCAGTGACTTTGGTATTTATTCAATTTTTATAGTGATCCAGGATAAGCTAATCTGATTCATTATGTAAAGCATATTAAGAGAAGGGGAGGGGGGATAGAGTGGTTATCAAGATAAAGGGACTGGCATTTTTTGGGCACCTGCTTCCTTTATTCTTCATAATTTATTAGACTTTAATAAGTCTCTCTCTTGCAGGCCATTCATATTATCAGGATTTTTCCATGCCTCAATCATAACCCAGACTAATTCTAGAATCTCAGAATTAGAAGGGAGCTCAGTCCACCCAGCTCAGCTTGAACTGGAGCAAGATTCCCCTTTAATGTCATACACACCAAGCTGTCATTAGCCTTCGCTTTAAAGACCTCCCATGGGGAGAGAAGCCCACTATCGTGGCACCATTCTGCTTAAATCTTTGCCAAGTTGAGCACCCCTGCTTTCTTCACTTGACCACTTTAGTGACGTGGACTCAAGAGCTATGTCTGTCCTGCTTGCCCTCCTCTGGACATACTCTAGTTTATCAATTTGCTTCCTTAAAATGTGGTGCTGAGAACTAAACATAATTTTGCTAATGTAGTCTAATGAGGATTGAATATATCATGACTATCACCTTCTTTGACTATAATTTTCTTGGCTACAATATCACATTGTTGACTCATTGAACTTAGCACTGCACTAAAACCCTGAAATTTTGTTTTTTGGAACCCTGAAATTTTTTACATCAGCCAATAATCCAGTCACCACTCCCCTATCTTGAACTTTTGAAGTTTATTTTTTTGAACCCATGTAAGAGTTTACCATTGATCCCTGTGTAATTTCTTATTAGATTTTAGCCTGTCATGACTTTTTTGAAGCCTGATTCTAATCCAGTGTATTGTCTTAGCCTTTCCAGATTTTTGTCATTTGTAAATTGAGTGGAATGCCATCTATGCTTATATCCAAGTCGCTGATAAAAATGTTTCTTAGTACAAGCTGAGCAGAGATTCATGGTATTCCACTGGAGACCTTTTCAACTCTACAGTGAACCTTTAAGGAGTCTGGCCATCCAGCCAGTTCTATATACAACTAATTGTACTGCCCAGCTTAGTAGGAGCCATTCTTCCTACCCTCCACCCCATTTTTTAATCTTTTGAGGTCCTATGAGGGGGGGTTTCTTTTGAATAAGAGGAAAGGAGAAATCTTGAGGTATTTCCATTTGGCAAGAAATTTCCATTTAGTTAATGAAAAAAGCCAAATCCAGATTTCTTGCTTGAATGTAAATAGTGGAGAGATTAGTATGATCATGAAAGAAGAGGAGTTCCCTATTATCCATTTGCTCTCCGTTGCTGGGATGGATTCTTCATCTCAGTACTTGTGTGGAGTTGTAGATCCTCTCAGGGTAAATGATCTATTCAGCACAGTAAAGCCTATAGAGGTGAAATAGATTTCATTTTTAAAAAAGATAATTTAATACTTTTTCATGTAGTGCATAAATAGCTATTCATTGTAATAGATTGTACGCTTGACCAGGACTTTTGACATGTCATAAAATTGCCTCCAACATTAATATTTTATTAATCTTAGAGAATTTTTTTAGTTCTTCTTAAAAAAATCCTAATTTTTGTACTCTAGACTTACAGAACAAGTGTCTTATAATTCTACACATGATGTCCTATCATGAGAAAGAGATGCCACAAATTATTCTGTTTTTACTATACTTTTAAACTTCTGTGTGTAATATTTATGACATAGTTTGTAGTAGATTTAAGTTTCATACAGAAATTTCTACAACTGCAGAAGTTTCTCCAAAGGTTTAAGGTTTTTTTGGGGGGGAGGTGGACAGGAAGGGGAGTGGAGGGAATGGGGAGATAGATTACTGATGCATTTATGTCCAGGGAAACTATCTCATGTTACTTCTACAAGAATGCCATAAGTTTTCTTTCTTCTCAAAAATAATGAGTCTTCTTTTAGATATTTTGCTGACACATGTGTTAACTGTATGTTTCAGTGATGTCCTTGCACTGCCAATCTTTAAGCAGGAGGAACCTCAGCTGTCCCCTGAGAATGAAGCCAAACTGCCCCCATTTCAGTATGTGCTTTGTGCAGCCACATCACCAGCTGTGAAACTTCATGAAGAAACTCTGACCTACCTCAACCAAGGTAGGTTTAACCCCCAAAGGGGAAAAGCTCCTCTGTGGACCTGGATTGACTTGGTCTGAGTGGCCCAGATGGAAGCGTTCACATTTTAGCATGATGTGTTACTGAATTTCTTGTGACAGGGATAGAGCAGGGTAGGGATCATTGGCAGAGAGAGAAGGAATAGGGAATTAGGAAGAAAAAAACCCCTCATCATCGTCGTAAACACTTGTTGCATATTATATCTGGCAAATATGTTTGGTCTGTATATTTATATGTATATATGTGTGTATATTCATATAAGTACATGTATATGCATTCACACATATATCCTGGCTATCTTAGAGACTATTTGTGTAATGAATTGATTGTCTCTCATAAAATAGTTAGTTTAGATCAGGGGTGGGGAACTTGTGGCCTCGAGGCCACACATGGCCCTGTAGGTCCTCAGTTTGGCCCTTTGACTGAATCCAAACTAAACAGAACAAATCCTCTTATAAAAGGATAGGCAGATACAGGTTCCCCACTCTGGGACTCTAGCCCAACCCCTGTGATATCAATTCTTTTAAGGATTTGAAGAGGTTTAAAAGGTCTAGGGGCGCAGTTGAGGACCTAGAGGGCCACTTGGGGCCTTGAGGCCACAGGTTTCCCATGCCTGTTTTAGATGTTATAAAATCCAAAAGACTTTTAGTTTCTGAATGTAGTGGTAGCCTTTTATAATTAATAGTAGGAGACAGAATGAATGTTCATTTCTAGCTGAACAATATCATGAGAAAAGGATAGAACACTCAAAAAGCCAGGGTTCAGATCCCTCCAGGTATTAATTATGTTATCCTGAGTAAGTATCTTAATCTCTCTGCCTCAGTTTCTTCATCTGTAAAATGAGGGGATTGGACTCAGTGGTATTGTAGGTACCCATCTTACTCTAAAAACTATAGCAGATTTTGATAAAGCCTTAAGAAACAGACTCCCATAACTTCAAGTTAGAGTGGATGGTAGAGATGGTCTAGCGGCAGGGGGGGGAATGTAAGGCCTCAAGGCCACATGTGGCTCTCTAGGTCCTCAAGTTTGGCCCATTGACTGAATCCAAACTTCCCAGAATAAATCCCTTTAATGAAAGGATAGGCCACATGTGGCCTCGAAGCCACAGGTTCCCAACCCCTGGAGCCTCGCTCAGACCCAGACCCCTGTGATATCAGTTCTATCTACAATAGCTCCCAAAAGTGGTCACTCTGAGTGTTCATTCAGCCCATACCGAAACCCTTTAAGTGGCAGGGAATTCACTCTCATAAAGCTTCTCAATGTAAGGAAGTTCTTATATTTTAGGGATGTGATTTGACCTTGTGGTTTATATTGATGTTATGAATTAAATTATACTAGTGATTGTTGTTGTAAAGAAGCATTTTTATAGCCATTCTGATGTTCAGCAGCCATCCTCGAAGGTGAGAGTTAAGTATTATTCCTGACTTAAAAAGCAGTGAAAACAATTTATCCAGAATATGTGTGTGGTGGTGGTGGTGGTGGTGTGGTGGTAAGAAAGGAGGATATATTACTCTACTTGGCAGAACTGGGAATGTATCTGAATCCTCAGAGCTTTTTGGTCCCTCTCCTATCTCACTGACTGTCTCTAGAACTTTGACTCTTTCGTTTGGGAAATAGCAGGGGGTCGAAGTCCAACCTGACCCTTTGCACATTTCCTTTTCTGCTGAACTCACCAGCTCTTTAAGGAGAATTTAATTTACTCCAACTTTACCAAGAGGGTCCTTTTCTTCCTCAGGATTCCAAAAATCAGAGGTTTAAGAATGTGACCCATCTAAAAATAACCCTGATTATGAAATGTCCCAGAAGAGATTTATCTCAGCTTTAAAAAGGTGTTTTCAGATCTCTCAGAATTTGTTTGAAGCTAAAGCCTAATACTATCTGTCTAACCTAGAGACATTTTCATTTAATTTGAAAAAACGTAGGGTCAATGGGAGGTTTGTTTTCTATATAAAAAGTATATATTTTTTAATGTAACTGATCTCTCTTCTTTCTTTTTACCGTGAGAGGTGGTGTGCCACTAGCTATGTGGCCTTGTGAAACTGTGGGCCTTTCTTTCCCCTTCTACAAAATGAGATGTTGGACTAGATGATCTCTAAAATTCTGTGGTTCTTTTTATTTCTGGACTTTGTAGCAGCATCATACAGAGTTTCATCAGCTATACCATGTATTTGATTCCACATTTATCTTTTAAAATTTTTTTTAGTTTTATTTCCTTTTGTTTTTATACCAGTTATTTCCCCCAACTCCATTGAGCCCTTAATTGTAACAGAATATTTAAACAAAGCCAACCAACATAGTAATCATACTTGACTGTGTGTAACTTACCTGTTAAGTGAATACCACTTTCCACATCCAGAGTTCACGAACCTCACTGCCAAGAAGTAGGTGTGTTTCTTTAATAGTTCTCCAGGATTGAGATTTGTAATCAGATTCACCAGTAGTAAGCATTTTTTTGATGATGTTATCATTTATTATTGTAGTTGTTATATATGTTGCTCTCTTGGTTCAATTTTCTTCCCTCTCTCTCACTTCATACAGATCTTGAATTTTTCTGAGTTCTTAATTTTTGTTCTTTCTGCAATAGCAGTCCTTTAAATTTACAACTGTAATTTGTTCAGCCAACTGATGGGCACCCATTTTATTAACAGTTTTTTGCTTCCATGAAGAGTCTATGACATTGACTTTTGAAAATGAGTTTCCTTTTGTATTTGAGAGAATATTATAGTTGCTCCTTCAATTTGTTTTTTCGTTTCCATTCATTAACAAATTTTGGATAGCAGACTTTTAATTTTTATTTTATACATATATATATACATATATACATACATACATACATCCACACACATATATACATATATGTGTGTATACACATACATATATGCATATATTTGCATATACACACATACACATGCATACACACATGCATTTATATATACATACATGTGTGTGTGTGTGTGTGTGTGTGTGTGTGTGTGTGTGTGTGTATTTAACAGACTTGAATAGACTATCTCCCTAACACTCCATCTGCCATGGATTTTAGCAGAAAGCTTGTGGGACTTTTGGGGAAAAAAAAAATCTTTGTGGTTTTGACACACTATTCATGAAGGCCTTTTTAGCAGTCAGCAGTAAACCTTTAAAAGCACTTTTGTGTCCACTGACTAGGCCCTTCAACATGTCTGTGAGGCTCTGCCATATTATCTTCATTATATAAATGCATTCCATGTGTGTGCTCTTGTTATTATTAGAAATATGGACATCCCCTTAGCACAAGACCCACTTAATGGAATTTCTACCTAAAGCCATGTGGTACCTTTTTTTTCTTCATATAGTGCCAAATGTTGCCTGAGACAACTTAAAACACATTGTACTTGGCCATGTTTTTAAACACAGTTTTACAGTTGCCATAACCAGAAAAGTAAATTATGGCGCAAGACTGAGAAGGAATCAGGATAATGGAATGGAAACACATTGGACTTGGAGGAGTAAACCTGTTAGCTCTACCATTTCCTAGCGATATGACCGACCACAAGCTAATCATTCAACCTCTTTGAAAGTCAGTTTGTTCATCTGGAAAAAGGAAAGTCTTAATACTTAAGAGTATTTAACTCATAGGTTTGTTGTGGATAAATCACATTGATGTGAGCTCCTTGAGGGCAGGGCTTACTTCGTTCTTTCTTTTGTGTCCTTGTATCTCAGTGCATAGCATAGTACCTGGCACGGAAGTTTAATAAATACTTGTTGATGGAATGATTGATTGCTAGATATCAGGCCAAAAAAGGATAACACAGTTTTAAGCTGCTTGAAGAAAGGCGTAGTGTCTAGAACATGGGAGGCAATAGTCCTTTTGTATTCTACCCTGGCTAGGCCATGTCTGAAATGTGTTTTGGGTGCCATTTTGGCAAGGACATTGATAAGCAGAAGTGTCCTGAGGAGGACAACCAGGATGAGACCTTGAGATCATGCTATATAAAGAACTGTTGGAAGGAATTGGAGTTATTTAACCTGAAGAAGAGAGGGGACATAACTATCTTCAGATATTTAACAGCTGTCATGTGGAAGAGGGATTAAACTTGTTCTTTAGAGCCCCAGAGGACAGAATGAGGAGTTGGAATAAGGAAAACCTTTTTTAACCATTAGTTATCCATTGGGAAGTCTTGCATTTTCATCCCTCACTACAGGTCTTCAAGTGTTGACTAGATATAGGGATCACATAAAGGAATCTGACAAGTCATCTGATCTAGCTCTCCCTCATTTTACAGATGTGTTAAAGGTGATTCCTGTTCAGATATGCATTGGACTAGATGACCACTGAGGTCTTTTCCAACTCTGGGATTCTGCTTTTAGCTTATCAGTGTGTGCTTTATGGGAGGACCATCAGGGGAAATATGTCTTTTAGTTGTGAAATCGATTTGATTGACTTTAGTGCTACATGTTAAATCTTTGGGGGCAGTAGAAGAAGATGAGAGCAATAGAAGAGTCGAAGGGTACCATTTGTTGTAGTCAATTTTAATTTTTTAATGAGAAACAACTTTTGAAAGGAGAAAACATGTTTGTTAAATGGAAGAAAACTTTATTATCATCTACCAAAAATTTCATGATTATGTTCTTCAGGAATGAATTCTCCATGGGAATCATCCCTGACCCTGCATTCTCTCTCTCTCTCTCTCTCTCTCTCTCTCTCTCTCTCTCTCTCTCTCTCTCTCTCTCTCTCTCTCTCTCCCTCTCTCTCTCTCTCTCTCTTTCTTTCTTTCATTGAGTTTTAACTCTAAATTTTCAAAGCTCTTCATTTCTTCACCTTCTCACCTTATTAGTCAACATGTGGTATTCCTCTCAAGGTGAGGAGACCAGTCTGGTTTCTCTTGAAGGCTGAAAGAGGTGGTTTTGAGACAAACAAAGGAAGGCTTACTTCTATTAAAAGCTGATAATAAACTTATGAAACTATTTGCCCCTAGAGGTGGTACAGGCTTAAAATATAAATGGGT